GGAATTCAATTCACGACTGAGTTCGCTTCCAGATAGTTTACTACGCTTACGATCCTGGGATGGTTCTTCCACAGGTCTAGGAACTACATTCTCAAATGGGTCAGTCCCTTTTGTTTTAGTCCCTACCTCAAGGGCTCTCGTTAGTCGCTCCTTTGTGTCAAGAGCCTCTTTTCTCTCTTCGTAGAAAAATCCTGCAATTGCAGACCTTAAAGTGATTCCATGTTCGACAGTCTCAGGATCGTTAATAACGTAGTAGTTTATTACCATACTTCCGTCGTTTGCAATATTATACCTGAAAAATCCAGAAAAAGATTGGTGGTCTGAAATGAATACCCTATCTGTCCCACAGAGGAAAGCTTGATAAATATACTTCCTTAGCACTAAAGCGCATACCACTCTGGGTGTCCATTCTCGGTCTTGAAATATAGTATTCGTCGAGTGCAGTCTCAAGCTTCTCTGGTCTGATAAGCACTTATTATATTCTTTTAACGTTGCTTTCAATTCTTTAAACCCTCGTGCTAAATGATAACTCTTCTTTTTGTAATCACCTATCCCAAAACAGATTTCCGGATTTTGCCGATTAGGAGACAGTTTATTCATTGCAAAATGAATGATATCCGGCTTTATTATACGTCTTCTATCTAAAGGTGGTCTTATGATAGTTGGCTTGCCAAACTTATGATATTTCCCATAAATCTCACCGTAAAGCGTGTTGATCGAATCCGCTATTTTTTGATCAAAGTATTCCTGGATATCACCTTCCACATTTGTAGCATCTCCAAATGGATAAGCATATCGCTTCAGCAAATATTCATCATCGATAATAGACCCTCTGAGAGCGTTGTCAAGTGGAGCAAGATAAGTTGTTTTAAATTCGTTGCTGGTCATCTCCCTAAAGTCGGCTACCACCATTAAGTTGGTAACATAATTAAGTGCGAGTATGAACGCCCTCGTCTCAACCGATACCGACGCATCGCTTTTGGGTACTATCCGCTCTATTTTGTCAAGAGTAAACTCTTCTTCTGGTATATCGTTGTGGACTCTCAATAAATGAGTGTCTAAAAAGACTCTGGCATTTTGGTCATTGTCATTCTGTACCTTTGTATAAAGTGCTGGGTTGATCCTGATGCACTCACTGGCAGGATCATCGAAAGCTATTTCCTTGCTCTCTTCCCCTGAGAAATACATACATGGCATACTAAGAGATAGTTATCTATACTTTTTTTTTGATTTGAGATTGATTTTATCTATGTCCTGTACATAGAATGAACTATGTAATTCATGTTGAATTTGACTATAAAATGAAGAATATTTCGACGTCAAATTTCTCTCATCCATTGAAGTCCTGATTCCTAGTGAACTGCTTATATGGTCGACAAGTTACATATAATAACTTTTATTATTTTCTTTCTTTAATAACTACAGCCTACAACTTATACTTTTATGATGTTTGGATTATTAATCCATTAGTTTTGCTTTACATGTTTGTCAATAGCTTTATCGTCTGAAGAGCAGGCCTATGAAATTACTAACTTATCAGACGTCTCCATGACAAAATTAAAGTCTACAACTACGTCTCTCTCTTATTCATATATCGACTTAGATAAATATGAAGGTAACAATATGGCTATAACTCAACGGATGGACGTCACATGGTGCTTTAATAACAGGGACAATTGGAACACGTGTGTAACGACAGTGGGAACAATAAGTGCTATAGCTCTAGGGATGGCACAAGTGCTCAAGAAAGAATCGGACGACAGCCAGTGTGCAAATCAGAATGTCTATAATTGTTTTGAGACTCTTTTTGAGACTCTTTATTCTCTTTGTCAAAGATCACTTCATCTGAAGAACTCGTCTCGTCATTTTCGCTGCTTTTCGAATGATTGGTACTCCTTTCTCTCATGTCTTCTTGCCGAGTGTCAACATATGCTCTAAAAATGTCATCCAATGCCTCAAAATCTCTTCTTTTACACTTTTCCTTACATGGGAAAACTGATAATCCAAAGTCTATTAACGAGATTTTACCACTTACCGAAACATGAATATTAGCTGCCCTGACATCATTATGGCAAATCCCCAAAAGATGAATCTCCTCGAGTCTGGATTTAATTACTTCATATACTTTCTTGTAATCCCATTTGGACATCGGTAACTCTTCTCCTAGATCTTCAAATATATGCATTGGTTGGCTAGGTACCCCGTTTAAATATCCAGATATAATGAGTTTAGGAAAATGTGATGCAAATTGAGACTTTGCGAGTATTTTATTAATCTCTAGTTCGTTAACATACATGTCATAATAGCTATCTTTTTCGGGGAAGTTCTCGAATGCCAGATCGGGATAGTTGTACAATTTAACAAATACATCGGTGGGAAGTATCGATGCTAATCCAGGATAACATTTAGGGGCATCATAGACTTTGCGACAGTATGTGTTTCCATGGATTTCATCAAAATCATCGTAATCGATATTTTCTTCAATGGAATTCAATTCACGACTGAGTTCGCTTCCAGATAGCTTACTACGCTTACGATCCTGGGACGGCTCTTCCACGGGTCTAGGAACTACGTTATAAAACGGGTCGGTCTCTTTTGTTTTAGTCCCTACCTCAAGCACTTTAACTAGTCGCTCCTTTGTATCAAGTGCCTCCTTTCTCTCTTCGTAGAAAAATCCTGCAATTGCAGACCTTAAAGTGATTCCATGTTCGACAGTCTCAGGATCGTTAATAACGTAGTAGTTTATTACCATACTTCCGTCGTTTGCAATACTATACCTGAAGAATCCAGAAAAAGATTGATTATCTGAAATGAATACCCTATCTGTTCCACAGAGGAAAGCTTGATAAATATACTTCCTTAGCACTAGAGCGCATACCACTCTGGGTGTCCATTCTCGGTCTTGAAATATAGTATGCGTCGAGTGCAGTCTCAAGCTTCTCTTGTCTGATAAGCACTTATTATATTCTTTTAACGTAGCTTTCAATTCTTCAAACCCTCGTGCTAAATGATAACTCTTCTTTTTGTAATCACCTATCCCAAAACAGATTTCCGGATTTTGCCGATTAGGAGACAGTTTATTCATTACTAAATGAATGATATCTGGCTTTATTATACGTCTTCTATCTAAAGGTGGTCTTATGATAGTTGGCTTGCCAAAATAATGGTTCCTATCACAAATGTCATGGTAAAGTTCGTTGA